ACGCATGCTTTACGCCGTAAACTTTACCAATAATGGTCCCACATCGGAGCCTCAATTTTACTTGGCATCATGTTACCCTCTCCCTATTCTTTCCACCGTTTCCATTGCTTTCCAATTTTTTTCCCATTGTTATATGTCAAAGTCCCTCCTTTTTTCCATTGTTGTTCTCATCATTTTCCCCTCCTTTCCCATTTTTTCCCATTGTTGTCTGTCATATTCCCTCATTTTTTCTATTGTTTTTCTCATCATTTTCCCCTCCATTGCCAGCATCCCATCTACCCCTATTTTCCACCATACTTTCCACCCAGAGACTCTTCAATACATTTCACCCATATACTTTTCACCCAGAGATTCTTCACCCAGAAACTCTTCTTGCACAGACTTTTCACCCAGAGACTCTTCACCCAGAAACTCTTCTTGCACATACTTTTCACCCATATACTTTTTACCCATATACTTTTCACCCAGAGACTCTTCACCCAGAAACTCTTCTTGCACATACTTTTCACCCATATACTTTTCACCCAGAGACTCTGCACCCAGAAACCCTTCTTGCACATACTTTTCACCCATATACTTTTCACCCAGAGACTCTTCACCCAGAAACTCTTCTTGCACATACTTTTCATCAATATACTTTTCACCCAGAGACTCTTCACCTAGAAACTTTTCTTGCACATATTTTTCACCCATATACTTTCACCCAAAGACTCTTCGTGCACATACTTTTCACCCATATACTTTTCACCCAGAGACTCTTCACCCAGAAACTCTTCTTGCACATACTTTTCACCAATATACTTTTCACCCAGAGACTCTTCCCCTAGAAACTTTTCTTGCACATATTTTTCACCCAGAGACTCTTCACCCAGAAACTCTTCTTGCTCAAACTTTTCACCCATATACTTTTCACCTAGAGACTCTTCACCCAGAAACTCTTCATAGTGGTCACACATCGAAACAGCAAGTTTTCCATTGCTTTTCCAATGTTTCACGCATGCTTGACGCCGTAAACTTTACCAATAATGGTCCCACATCGGAGCCTCAATTTTACTTGGCATCATGTTACCCTCTCCCTATTCTTTCCACCGTTTCCATTGCTTTCCTATTTTTTTTCCATTGTTTTATGTCAAAGTCCCTCCTTTTTTCCATTGTTGTTCTCATCATTTTCCCCTCCTTTCCCATTTTTTTCCCATTGTTGTCTGTCATATTCCCTCATTTTTTCTATTGTTTTTCTCATCATTTTCCCCTCCATTGCCAGCATCCCATCTACCCCTATTTTCCACCATACTTTTCACCCAGAGATTCTTCACCCAGAAACTCTTCTTGCACAGACTTTTCACCCAGAGACTCTTCACCCAGAAACTCTTCGTGCACATACTTTTCGCCCATATACTTTTTACCCATATACTTTTCACACAGAGACTCTTCACCTAGAAACTCTTCTTGCACATACTTTTCACCCATATACTTTTCACCCAGAGACTCTTCTTGCACATACTTTTCACCCATATACTTTTCACCCAGAGACTCTTCACCCAGAAACTCTTCTTGCACACACTTTTCACCAATATACTTTTCACCCAGAGACTCTTCCCCTAGAAACTTTTCTTGCACATATTTTTCACCCATATACTTTCACCCAAAGACTCTTCTTGCACCTACTTTTCACCCATATATTTTTCACCCAGAGACTCTTCACCCAGAGACTCTTCTTGCTCAAACTTTTCACCCATATACTTTTCACCTAGAGGCTCTTCACCCAGAAACTCTTACATATAATGGTCCCACATCGGAGCCTCAATTTTACTTTTCACCCATATACTTTTTACCCATATACTTTTCACCCAGAGACTCTTCTTGCACATACTTTTCACCCATATACTTTTCACCCAGAGACTCTTCACCCAGAAAATCTTCTTGCACATACTTTTCACCAATATACTTTTCACCCAGAGACTCTTCACCTAGAAACTTTTCTTGCACATATTTTTCACCCATATACTTTCACCCAGAAACTCTTCTTGCACATACTTTTCACCCATATAGTTTCCACATCTTTTCACCCAGAGACTCTTCACCTAGAAACTCTTCTTGCACATTCACTTATACTTTTCACCCAGAGATTCTTCACCCAGAAACTCTTCTTGCACAGACTTTTCACCCAGAGACTCTTCACCCAGAAACTCTTCTTGCACATACTTTTCACCCATATACTTTTTACCCAGAGAATACTTTTCACCCAGAGACTCTTCACCTAGAAACTCTTCTTGCACATACTTTTCACCCATATACTTTTCACCCAGAGACTCTGCACCTAGAAACCCTTCTTGCACATACTTTTCACCCATATACTTTTCACCCAGAGACTCTTCACCCAGAAACCTTCATTTTTTTCCAGTGCTTTTCCATAGTTTTGCTCGACATCATTTTCCCGCCCAGATCCACCTCGGAGGGCGGACCAGGGGGGAATCGATACCCCAACGTCACCCAATTGCCACCTGGTACATAACCCTAAAAAAGTTTACCTGCGTCCACCTTTTTTACCACCTATTTTCCGCATTTTTATCCCACTTCGGGCGCTCTGCCCCCAGACCCCCTTAACTCACTTTGTTCGCAAAAATAACTTCGCCTAGCCTAGCGGCTGGCTTTCGTGATTTATAAGTTGGGATATCCTATAATTTGTAGGAGATATCTATAAAATATCCCCCTTATAATTGTGGTTGTATAATGTTGTATACCCAACTTCATAGTTGAACCGCCATGCCAGGGCCTCCTCAGCCGCGCGGCGCTTGCCGCGCGCCTGCGCGCGCGCGGCCCAGCGCGCCGCCTTGGCCGCTTGCGACCAGAGCTCGCAGTCCTCGCCTTGCGGAAAAAGATGGGATTTCTCTATCAACAAAGAATGAGGTTAGTGTCACAAATAATGAAAAAATGAGGTTAGTGTCAAAAAATGAGGTTAGTGTCGAACCAGATTTAAAAATTTACTTTAGTCAAAAATAATGAAATAAATACTTCGTTTTAGCATCGAAAATATTGATGTGGCATCGAATATTGGTTTGTGCATCAAACATGGGTATGTTTGCATCATACATGGTTTGTTTATCATAAAAAATAGGGATATTCCGGGCATAATTAACCACAATAGTGGGGACAATTAGCAATTAACCAGTCGGAATGGAGGTTAACTAGCCATCCAACATTGGGGATATTTCATGGGGAGCTTCACTAATTGGAAGCAGAGATTAAGCATCACAGTTTTTAATTGGTATTAATGGGGATAATCACCCTATGATATGGGGATATATATAATTGGGATGTAACGGGATTAATATGGATTAATCATCGGTGGTTTACTCGGGATATATAATGCGTTAATATTTGGGGTGAATAATTGACGAATAGTTAGAATGGGGATTGATTGACCATTGGACACGAGGATAAGTAAATATAGTGAGTATATTGGACAAGTTAGGTTTACAGCAAAATGAATGAGGATATACTAAGACCATTTATAAATGAGATAAAGCCAGATTAGACCCATTTATGATACGGGGTATACAACCAGTTATATAATACCCAACCCAATTTATATTGGATGGGAAAAGAAGATTGCAAAATAGGACCGCTAATCAGAATCATGAGAGTCGTTGACTTACGGGGATATAGTGGGATATGCAACAAATGAGGATAGGTCTAAGTATATTGGGCATAGCATTTACCTTTTTTGCATGCAACTAGGATATATTGGGACATTATGGGTATTAATGAGGATGTTCCACGAAATGATTTTTAAGTGGCTTCCTATTGGGACTTACCGATGGAATGATCTCTGCAGAGAGTTACCACCCAGTTTTAACTCACTTGGATGTGGGTTTCCACCCCACCATTTGTAAAACATCATTCCTGGCAAAACCAAAAACGCCTTTTCCACATCTTGTATGTTTACCCTAGGGATTGTTATTGCTATATTCAATGGATTGGTTGAAGGGAAAATCCAGAGGAAACCATCGATTTTCCCATCCACTCGGGGGCTTTCCGGTTAAAATGTTCCCTGAAAAACCAATCCATTGATATAAATCTATGATTTCATCTGAAATACTGGAATAATCTGGAATATATGAAAATTCCCGTATTCCCATGGATAAAAAAACCCATCATTGATCTCTTGGGCCCAAAAAAATCGCCCCAACTCCATGGCCGCCATGGCCCGCTTCGCCAAGGGATCCAAGGGGCGCGTCTCCACCGTGATGAGCCAGGAAGCTCCACCCGGCAAACCAGTTTCTTCCGCCACCTGCTCGGCGATGTTTTTTTTTTGGGCTGTTCTGCAAAATCAAACATGGGGATATATCATCCGATATGATGCGATATCGTTGGATATATATATATATATACAGTATACATATTTAATATATATATATATATCTCGACTCGCTAGCATATGATTTCAGGGTCTGTCAGCAAATGGTGGACTTGGCCCCAGTATACTAGGCAATTTCAATATATCTACGTGTACATTTACATGTGTATATACATATCCGCCGACCCCAGCCATCTGCAGGGGGAGCGCGCCCGAGGAAAAGTGGCGTTAATATATATATATATAGAGAGAGAGAGAGAGTATCGATTGTGATTGGCCATCAAATTTGGGGGTACCCGACTTTGAAACAAACCCATTGTGCCAGTTCTTAGATTCTGGAGCTGTATCACTAAAATTCGACGGGTCTATGAATGGTCTAGGCCTGTTTTAATCACCGCAGTCTGAGGGACACTCCACTCTTGAGCCGTTCAGAAAGCTATCTCTATGATGGGCAATCTCCCAAAATTTGGTACCGTACTGTAACCTTCAAATCCAAGGACCAATATCCCCAATAAACCAGAACCCCCCATGGTAACCAATATCACCAATAAACCCGGCATTCAAAAAACTATATAAACCCCCTAGCTATCCCCAAGACATTACATAGGTCAAACCCCGCAAAACCCATCAACAAATAATTTGTTCATGGCTGTCGCACCTCGAAAATGCACAGGGACCAGCCGTTGCCGTACTTGCACCGCGTCACCTCACCCACCTGCGGATCTTTGCCAAAGCAGCCCAGGTTTGGGTGAAGAATCTCAAATGTAGGTATGGGTATGGGCCAAAAATTGGGACACTACATCTACATATTCAATCATCTGTCATCTGTTCCCAACAGGAAATTGTATATATATATTCCTTTTCTATTCCAGCCTATGTTGAGGACTTTGAGATGGGAATGATTCACTCCACCCTACCGTAGTACCCTGTAATTGGATGTAACTGGTACAATTCCCAAAAAGGTTGCCACGATGATCATCGTGGTCATCATCATATTGGAATACATGCTGTATAACCCTATTTGCAGTTCTTTGGTATTGACCCATCCCATACCATATCCAAATCTGTGGCAAACAACTGGGACATGATAGCTGAAACCACCTCGAAAACCAGGGATATAGCCTGATATAACTGATGAGAAAAACCCAACAATAAGCCCTTGGTTGGGGTTCATTCTACAGATAAGCCTGAGCGGTTATTTACGAGGATGGTTTCTTATTGGCTTTACAACTTTACCACTGCAACAAAAACCATACATAATCCTATGTTAAGTCCTCTTGTAGCTCCCCCAGTTGAAACATCCGCAGATGTCAATTTTCCCAGCCTCACAGTGGAGGAGCGGAAGGCTGGCCACAGGCTCCGAAAAGTCCAGCGCATCACTGAAGGCGTACAGCACCTGGCCAAGGGTCCAAGCTCCAAACACCACAACACCAGGATTCTTTAAAAAAGAGAGAAAAATGGAGATGTGAAGAACAAAAATTGAGATATCCCATTGATTTAACCATGCAAAATGGTGCCAAAACACGGATTTGACCGTCAGAGACAAGGCTTAAAACAATGAAATTTCATGGAGATGGGTAAACTCAAAAAATGATGGTTTTGCCCTCAATAATGTGGCAAATCTTCATGGGGAAAATGATTCCGATCCCTTTGGGAATTTCACCAACGCCCAGAACGTGAAACTATCTCCATCCATTCACCGGTTGGGAAGTGACTTGGTAAGACCATCTGCTGCAAGCCGAGATTGGGCAGGGGATGATCTACAACTTCTGTTCAGAGTCCATGTAACCAACACGCGTTCCACAAACCCATACACTATGGGACCATGCACTGCCACAATCCACGTCCGTCATCATTGTGGTATGCTGCTACGCTTCAACATGCTGGATATGCTCTGCTGAATGCTGAATTATATGACTCATTGGACTGCTTTAATGGGGAGAAATAACTTCAATTCTTGGAATGGGCGGTTCTTTAACTGGGGGACCCAAAAATAAATCTGAATTGGCAAAATGAAGATAAACATAGATAAACCATCAATTTTAGGGGAACCCTTATTTGTCCACAACCCACCTGTAGTGAATGCTGGGGAAACTTGGGGCAATTTCGCGGCCTCAAACTTCAGGTTGCTATCTCGCGGGGGTTCCAGGAGCGAAGCCTCAGGATTTTCCATGGATTGGGAAGTCAAAGGTCTCAATACAAATGGCTCTCTGAAAATTGTTGCTTGATTGAAATATACATATATATATATATACACATATAGATAGATAGATATAGATATAGATATAGATATAGATATATAGATATAGATATAGATATAGATGTAGATGCAGATAATTGGGAGATTCATTAACCATATTTGGGACTTGGGATTTGGGATATTATTGGATATAGAACCATATAATATGATATTTGTGTGTGTGTGTGTCTGAAAATGGTACCACAAAATAGCCACTTGCCAAAATGATGAATAACTAAGCTTCCACTCTTGGAGGAACCTATTTTCAGACAAGCCCCTTTTTGGGGACTATGATATATCTGGGTTATTTGATGTTAATTGTAATAATTAACAAGCCTGAAATAAGCCAATTTGGGGATGATCGTACTAATCTTGCTGAAAGCAGGGTTGTTCATTTGATATCATTTGATGATGTGATGACTATATCAAGAAATTGGATTATCATTTTGTGGGAAATGACCACAAATTCAATGGATATGATGATATGATGGCGAGTTGGGAAATGACCACAGCTGGACCCGAAAAAATGATACGTGTGATGCCCTGGACCTGCAATTCTGACCCAAAAATGTGGCTGTCAGGTTACTATCAACGGATTGGTTACCCTCTGGTAAATTAACATAGACCCTGAAAATGACCAATTTATAGTGGAAACTAGTCTTTCAACCCCCATCTGGCAGGGTCTATGTTAATTTACTGGAGGGTAATCTAAGATTAGTTCATGAAAAATCTATATACCGGAAACCCTGGTTTCTACCCACAACTATTGGGCTTTCCAGGGTTTCCTGTAGAATTTTCCCACCAATACTGAGATATGCCGGGTTCCAGCCTCAACCCAGAGGCTCCGGCCGAATTCAAGACTTGGGACTCGCCAGGCGGCTCGGAAATTTCCCTAGCACGGATAGCTTGTGTGTTTATGTTCTCTATTACAAGGGGAAGTGTGAGCATAAATTTGGGCTGCTTACAATGCTCACTAAAACCTCCATTTATATTTTTTTTTCTCATCAAGACCTCCAGTAATATGGGATGTCGCAGCTAGCCACGTTTGAAAAAGACCATTAAATTCAATGAAATCACCATTTTTGTTGGTTGAATCCCCATTTTTGCTTGGTGTTTCTTAAGCATAGGTCCAGGAGCTTCCCAGTTCTTGGCCCAGACACACCGCCTCGAGCTGACGAGCAGCAAACAAAATTCGGTGCCAACCTCAGTGGCTTGGAAGGGCACCAGTGAAAGACCCAACAACTTCCTAAATGTGGCGGGAAAATAAATCGATGATGAGATATTCGGTCTCTGTGTGTGTGTCTATATTATATTATATAACATTATATCATATTATATCATATTATATTATACTATATTATACTATATTATATTACATTATATTATGATATTATATATTATATATTATATAAAAATTATATATATATATATGGATACTATTACTTGCTCAGCGGGTGTCCCTGTCATAAAGAGTTTAAACTTTTCTTGGTTGGGTTCGCGCGCCAATTTGGGGTATAGAAAAGGGGGCAGTTTCGCGCCCAACAACAACAAAAAGTTTAAAGTGTAGTCACTTGCTGAGTTAGTATAGGGATATCATATTGGAATATATGGCTATTGGTCAAAACCCTGGCACCTAGTGAACCCCAAAATAGCTGGTAAATGGATGTTCATCCCATTAGAATTGATAATAATAGGTTTTGACCCACCCCCATATTGGAACAATATGATACAATAGAAAAAAATGAAGAGTTTTGTGTTGCCATTTGCTGCAAAAACAAAAAGGTCGGATCAACTCATGACGCCACTGACTCCCCCGACCCCAGCATCGGAGCTTGACAAACATCCACCGGTTTCAACTTCACAGCCTTGGCTTGGATATGGGTGGTCCAACATATTCCAGTGGCTAGTCTTCTGCTTCAAACAAGCTGTTGATAATGTCAACCCTGGGTTAATAAACCATTGTACCCCACCCAAATAAACAGCATTAATCCAGGGTTGACGTTACCAACTGCGACCTTGTTCCAGTTTGCATCACCTTGAGCTCCTCACGACTCCGGAGCAAGCTATCTCGCACCCTTCTGCCAGCCACCACCAAGCGGCCCTGAAGCAGCCACCATGCCACCACTGGAGTTCAAGGTGAAAATGTCGCAATGTCTTACCGTCTTACCTCAAAAATTCAAGCTCATTGAACAAACAAAAACAAATGTAATTTGGCAAATGTTGCATAATATTGAGATCAATTTGGTGGATTCCTAGTCTACCCAGGTTTGAAGAAACACCCCATGTCATGTCATTGATCTTTCCATTAGAGATCAACCTTTTCCGCCTGCCGTGGCGGATGACGCTCCCCTGACAAACGCAACAGCGCGCCCCCCACACCTGAAGCCGCAAAAGTGCAGATTTCAGGGAACAGAAGGGGGTCATAGTCGTAGTTGGAAGTAACTTTCTGGGGAAAAGAATCCCATTGCTGGGTATAGAATGCGTTAGTGGACCTGGAAATCATCGCCAACATTCTTGAAGAATAATTGATGCGGCCTGCCAAAATGGAACCTGACCTGGTCAAAAAGAATGTGTGGCGACAAATAAGTAGCATAGAAATTTACCCCCAAATAGCTGCCCGCGTTTAGGACGTTTGTGCTAATTAACAATCATCCAACTTTGGTCTTAAATTGTGAGCCGTCCAAAATGAATCAAAACCATCAGGGGCGGCTTATTTTTGTCCACCTTGCTGGACCCTCCTGCCATGCGAGCAGATGTGCGTTCTCTGAGGTGCCGACGAGCGTATCGCAGCGCTGCAGTTTCCACCGGAATTGGCTCCTTCAAGTTGCATGGACAGATAAACCCAAAAGATTTATTATGCATTAATGGATAAGTATTGGATAGCTAGTGGATAACTAATGGATAACTGGAATCATGTGCTAAAATGTGCTAAACCCAGACCATCCCCAAATGGGGCCTCCGCAACTCCGGCTGCAGCTGCCTGAAGAGACACATGCGGCATCACAGATGGCGCAAGAGTGCGGAAACCTACAATGATTGGTTTTGTCTGAGAAGAAACCGTGGTTGTTACAAGTTCTTGCCATTCAATGTATAATATATATTATATACATATTCATATGTAGGTTGTTACTAAATTTTGGGGATACTGTCTTAAGTTTGATTCATGCGGGCATGTCCTTGAATTTGCGATCACCCAAACTCCATTGTTGCACAGTCAATTTCTTGGGGCTCCCAAAATATATACAGGAGTGCCAACACACCCATGTAGCTTCCAGTGCTGAACTTTTGGATCTGGACTCCCAAATGGGATAGCTCAGCCCTAAAGCCAACCCAAATAAAGGCTTTATTTGCTGTTTCTTTAGGGCAAACCCCCCATCTGTGCCAATGCGCCAATGGTGAAACCTCCATTTCGCGAAAACCGAGGTCCAGACACTGAAGGTGTCGCTCACGGCATTCTTCAGTGTCTGCCACATGCCCTTGGCTTGGAGCACATCCTCTGCTGTGACCTGTGCCAGGTTCTGGCTAGAGAAATTATAAAAGGTCATGGGTGGTGGTTCGTTTTAGAGTATTTCAGCTTCCAAAAATGGGGGCCAATGATTTTGAGCAATACCCATATTTATATATATATACTAAATATACATATACATGTACATGATACATATACATATACATATACATATACATGTATCTACATCTGTATATATATATATATTATATATATATTACATAAACATACACATACACATATACATACCAGTACCATACCATTCCAGTCCATACATTACATACATCCGTTACATTCATACGTTACATACATACATTACATATACATACATTGCATACATTACATACATACATTGCATACATTACATACATACATTGCATACATTACATTACATTGAATTACATTACATTACATCACATCACAGTATGTACAGTACTGACAGTACAGTACATTACATACATTACATACATTACATACATTACCTATTTACTTCCTTCTTTCTTACTTACTTGCTTGCTTACTTGCTTACATACATACATACAATACAATACAATACAATACAATACAGTACAGTACAGTACAGTACAATACATACATACATACACCAATACATACACCAATACATACACCAATACATACACCAATACATACCATTACATGCCATTACATACCACTACATTCCATTACATACCATTACATACCATTACATACCATTACATACCATTACATACCATTACATTACATTACATTACATTACATGACATGACATTACATGACATTACATTACATTACATTGCAATACATACATACAGTACATTACATTACAGTACATTACATTACATTACATACATGTGTTTGTGCAAATAGACACATTACATCATGAATTAGTATGTGTATGTGTATATATATAGAGAGAGAGATAGACTGTAGACACATATGCTAACCTCCGCTGGGAAATCCCTGCTTTTGATGAGAAAATAAAGGATCATCATTCCAGGTAATGTAGGATTGAGAATAAGAATTGCTGGTTAGTACCCCGGTCATGAATGGTCAATATCCCTGTTTTTGATGGTGACATATATCACCGTTGAAAAAGCCAAACCCATCTACTATACGTGGTTGATATATACTTACTACAGTATACATGTGAATGATATACATGTATATACAGTATATGGTAATATCCCAATGTTTGATGATGTAAATCCCAACTGTTTTATGGTTCCGTTCCAAATATTTCTGGGTTAAATCCCCAGTTGATGGTTGAATCCCCTTTTCGAAACGAGCGTTGAAGTCCCCATGTCTGATGGCTACTATCCAATGTCGGCTGGCTAAATTAGCTGTTGGCTAAATCACCACTTTTGTTGGCTAGATCACCATTTTTGCTGGTTATCATCATTGAAACCACCAACCGGTGTTTAAAAGGAAATGGAAAATCAACATGTTTGTTGGCGAAATCACCTAATTGTTGAACCCACTTCCCAATGAAAGAAAATAAAAGAGTCGCAAGTCCGTCACCCCACCTGTCCAGCGCTCGCAGCCAAGCGATGTTGGAGAGCAGCGGCGTTCAAACCTGCTAGCGCTGCCCAGTGGCCCGACATGTTTGATCACACCGAAGGGTCAAAATCGATGGCTTGAATCAATGATATCCCACTTAAAGGAATCCCATTATATCCAGTGATATCTCCATTATACCACCATTTTTCTTGGTGAAATCTATATATATATATCATTATATATATATATCATTATATATATATCATTATATATATATATCATTATATATATATATATCATTATATATATATATCATTATGTATATATATATATTATGTATATTATATATATATGTTCATATATGTTCATATATCCCGATGATAAATTATATTACTCCCATTTTTGCCCCATGATTCCACCATGGAAATTGTGAACCGGGGCACTGCAGATCCACAGATCTCGCTGCTCCGAGGTCTCCGTCTCCAGCTCCTCATCATAGGCTGCCTGCGGTGCCTTGGGAGCTGAAACAAAGGTTGGAAGATATGAGGGTGAAATGGATGGTTTACTAGTAGATATATATATATATATATGGACAGATGGATGATTGGAAAATGATTGGGGGAAAAAAAGGAATCTGGATTTTGTTGATACAGTTTATGGATGTTTATGCTAGATATATGGGTAGATCTATGATTAAAAACATCTGGACGATAGATGTCCTCTGGTAATTTAAGAGGTTTCTGTGGGAAATCACTATTTTTAGTAGAGATGTATCATCTATTTCTGTGGGCCATGTTCTATATGTTTAAATCACCAGAGGGTATGGATGGTAGATAGATGGCGCTATAATGTCTTAGGATTCATTCAAGATACTCAAGGAAACAAGAGTTGGCTGATGCAAAAAAGGGGGAAAACGCGGGTGCAATTGTTGGAGTTTGAGTTTGATCCATATCCTTGATAAACATTGGGTGTACCCACCTGGCTTGTTGTCCCACCTGAGAAGTAGACCCTTAGGACAAAGCGGTACAGCCCGCAGCAGGCAGCCACCTCGAGAATCGTTCTGGGTATGGGTTTTGTACCTAAAAATGTTGGGAAACCCCCAGATGTTTGTAGTTGATCATACTTTTTTAGTGGACACACCCATTTCTTGACCAGGCCATTGTAAATCTCAAGAAATGATCAGTTACAATCAGCTGGTTCCCCCGCAGCTCTTCCCCCTTCCAAAACTGGCTCCCTTCATCGGTGCTGGGATCCAAGCATGGCAGCCTGACAAACTGATCTCCCCCCGTGGCTTCTGATGTTCCTCCGCAAAGCGCTGCTTTTTCCAGTAGCCTCAGCGTGGAAATTCACCAGAAGTGTCCACCTTTACAAAAATAGTACACGAAAGAATACATGAAAGAGGCCACGGTTGATCCCCATCTTCTCTTGAACTCCATCTGCCCCTTCTACTGGTTGAGAACGGGGTTCACAGATTAGATCATCTCATCCTCCCGATTCAACCAGTTCGGCAGTAACCTCAAACAAAAGAAATCATTTCTAGGTTAGATCCCACATTGAAAGCTATGGAGAAAGCCTCCAATTTTTGTCGCAACTTGTCATTGCCATTCACTGCCAAGCTGCGGAGAATGCCACTCTTTCCTTCAAATTGAAAGTAGCGCCACTTCCAAAGTCCAATATGGTGGCCTCGGCGTTCAGAACGCCTCGTGGAAAGAAACCGTCGAAGGGGAACATGTTTCGAGAAATGATTAGTAAAACACGGGAAAAATGGTGTACAACCGTATAACATGTACAACCTGATATACTGTAACTTGGGGATTACCCGGCTTGACCACCTGAGTACAGGTATGGGCTGGGCCATAGGATACCAGCAAATAGGGCATCAGTCAGGCAGTCTTGCGGACCCTGACAGCCTGAAAATTACATGGTTTACCGGGTACCTGTCGACTCCATGTGTTTGGTAGGGGTCCTAAAAACATCTAAAAACCTTATATAAATCAATATCCCATGGGGCCCATGTCCAAGATTGGCTTCATACTCGATCCATATCCCTGGTGAAATGCCACCGTAGCCCATCCATTCTGCAGGGTCTGACTCTTCTTGCGGAGCCATCCCTCAAGATTGCCGCGTGAGTCTGACATGTCAGCATGAGGTCGCAAGAGCTGTCGGAATCAGTCCACTTTGTTGGCTAAAAAAATCCTCTGCTGGTGGGATCCCCTATATTTTTGCTGGGCAAATGATGTCACATCATGGTTACACTACGTCAAACGTACCTTTTTCATTGTGGCTGCTGGGTGTTCATGTTGCCACGGCCTGTGATACATGGCTGTGCTACACTGACTCCACGCTTGAGAGAAGGCAAAGGCCACGTGAAGAATCAGTCGTCAACACAGCTAGCTGTATTCAAGTTTTTTCAGTTGTGGGTCAAAAATGGTAAATATCATGTGTGGATCCAACATAACCACCAGTTTCATCTTCCAAAAGAGCCAGGCTGCCAAACCCTGTAGGATTCATGGATTCCCAGTCCCAAATCAGTTCCCATGGACACCAAGCTGCAGTGTATTGATTTGGGTGGCATAGAGCTTAAAGATCACTTGCAGATATGAAGCCATTGTTTGTGGTTGATGGTTAAATTAAAACATCTTTCCCACCTTCCTAGCTTTGTCTTCTCAGCACGAACTTCACCATTTTCCCGCCGAATCTTCCACTCAGGCGGTTTGCCACTTGCGCCAGCAATTCGAACAGTACCTCACGTCGGTTTAAAACGCCCTGCCACCGCAACAAATAGGGGCGTTCATGCTTGGAGAGCAGGCCTAGATGATCCATGTCCGAACTTGGAAAGGCTCGAAATCCAGCTGCAAGTGCACACTGGAATCAAGGAACATGATATGTGCCATGGTCCAAACCATGGTATATGGATTATCATCCATCCCATAATGGGAAATACAAACATAGTGGATATAGAAATTATATAAATCCCTATGATATTAGATTGATGACCATCCCCTAATATCAGTACACAATCAGCCTAACCTCCAAATTCCCCTGGGCTGCCATGCCATTCTCCCCTGGCCTCGACACGGAGCATAAAGTTTAGACGTTTCCAACAGGGAACCTGCTACTTAGTTCATGACTTTTCACCAATATCTGTATGTATATATATATATATTTATATACTGTATACAAATGTGTGTATATGTATGTATTATATATATTGTACGTATATATGTGATATTAGATTATGTCATGTATGTATATTAATATGTATGTATATCAGTCAAATTTGGCCTCAACCATTCATTTGCATTCATGTCGTGCTATCACTTGCACCCAAGTCTTCGGATGTCTTGGGAGGTACCAACAAAGGCTATCCCCATCTCCGTGAGAAAATGGGGGGATCGTATATATACCCCTTTTAAAGATGGCCATGTTAGGGATAGTGGAGACCCCATTGGGGTTTTGATAGGGATGTGTTCACCATAAAAGCCTATCAAAATTCATTGTGAATTTGGGGTGTACCCTATGGTGAAAAAAACGCATCTCTCACCATCTGCTGAGAATCCCTGCACTCCAGCCATCAACTCGTTGGCGACGGCACCTGCTCCGGCGAAAATCTTGCGCGTGCCGGTTGAGCCATCCCCCGCGAAAAAAAAAGTCAACTGGGATCATCATCCCATGTGTGTGGGGGGGGGAAAAGCTAAACAAAATGGAAACTACGAAACAGGTTCAAGATGTTTTGAGCACAGAAATTGAGATTTCACCCAAAAAGATGAAAGTCTAATGGGCAATCAGCAGCCCACTGGTCAAGCTTGGTGGCTGGATGTTTTGCGGTTTTCTGGTAATAAATTCCCGGCATTGCTGGCGTTTTGAATGTTTTGGGATTTTGGGGTTCATAACTGCTCAAATGGTTGACGCTTAAATTAAACAGAGTCTTGTAGGTCTTCAAGAAACAGAGTCATCAAAAATGAAAAATCACTGTAGCACAGCTTGCCATGGAATCTGCACAGCTACAAGGGTTCGGGTGGTATTCATGTCGAATCCTTTGCCTTCCCACTTCTAATTGGCCACTCGCAACTGCTCCCATCACGCTCTGTCGTGTGGCCGTTGGTCAAAGAATTCAACCGGTCAACCTTTGGAGAAATGATTTCATTGACCATTGCACATCTGTCCGGCCATTGCGGCTGTTGGCACCATCTTTCTGTGTCAAAAAATCGCCGGCAAAGGGATGTTCAACTTGTCCCATACATAGTGACCCATCTTTCTTGGTGAATTCTCATGTTTTCTTTGGTTAAGTCCCCAGGTGTGTTGCTTCAGATCATCCCTCGTTTTGGTGTGAGGGGGAATCTTGTGTTAGGTGGCATCAATCCCCATTTCCTCTTGAGATTGTCCTTTTTGGTGGCTCAGCTCCCCCTGGCTGAAGTATAGGAATTCACTCACCTGAAAATAAGGTGATTTTGAGATATGAAGACCAACCAGCTACGGTGACATCTTCCAGTGAGGTCGTTGTAATTCACCCAAATATCCAACAGGATAGGGTATTGCCCCAAGATAGGGCCAAAACCCAAGGCTTGATCATCATTTTCGCCATTAAACCAGTCATTTTAGGGTATCTTCGACTTCCAGATCCAAAAAAAGGGATCGAAAATCAAACAACCGGATATAGCCTCCCTCCAACTTGGACGCTGACAAATAGCAGATTGGAAGCTGGGATGAGCGATGTTCGGGCTCACTGACCATACTGTGGGGGCTGCATCCCATAGGTGAGAATCCCATCGTCAATGGGAGTCCTAACCAGTTTATACCCCAGTTGTCTGCGGAACATCCCCAGTTATATATGGATTATATCTATGGATCATACATGGATCATACATGGATCATACATGGATCATACAGTTATACAGTGGATTATACAGATTTTGCATATTATTATATGGATTATGCGAATTTATACGTGGATGTTTTTTATGCGTTCCAAGTTATAAGCCACTTGCCATGGCGCCATGGACATCACCAGAATTTCACCAGGTCCCCGCACTGGGCACATCGATGAAACTCCGTGCCCTTCAACGTCACCTCCGGAGACCAGCCTCCGGAGACGTTGAGCGTCTCATCCCGCAACGCGGGTACCCTCTGGTAATGACTAACATAGCTATTGAAAATACCCCATTTATAGTGGATTTTCTCATGAAAAATGGTGATTTTCCATAGTTATGTAAACGTTTACCAGAGGGTAGCGCCTGGAGCAAAAGGGCTGGGTGCATCGGCAAAGACTTCCATCACTGGCCTAGCGGCGTGTTCCAAGGGCTGGTGTTCCAAGGTGGAAACCCTACACGTTTGCCCACCGATCCCGCATCTCGACATGCTCAAATCCCTGTGCAGGGCCAGCATTAACCCTGAAACCCGAAACCCGAAAACCCTAAAACCCTAAATCCTGAAACCTAGAGTCAAACTCGCTGCGTATAGCGAGTGTTTTGGTTCATCCTCTGGTAACAAGTATATGATATTGTTTGGGTGTGTTATTTGGATGTGGGCCAACGTGGGGTTTGGCACCAACATCCCCACTCGGAGTTGGAGGTGTATGGGGACTCCTCTTTTGGGCCATAGCTGGGACCAAAAATGGACCCCAAAAGTATCCCGAGAGAACTGGGATTTACGGATGGTCATCCCGAGGTTTCCTGAAATGGAGGTACCCCCAGTTCTCATCCATTTATAGATGGATTTTCCATGAAATAAACCATCCAGCGATAAAGGGGTACCCCATGACTATGGAAACCCCCATATCTATCCCAAATGGGATGCTCCGCACCTGAAGTCTTCCCAGCTGTCTCCCTCTCCAGCACCTTGACAAATGGCCCCCGAGACACACTAGAGGTGCACATGGTTAGAAAATAGGGCCTGTTTCTGATGGATAGTCATCATGCCAATAGAATCTAAGAGCACCATCAGAGTTCCGTGAAATCTCATTTCATCAACCATTTCCAACAAGAATTTGTCACTGATCCCTACATATCCCTGCCTGTCTTTGGCTGAAAGGGTCGAATCTGCAGTTCACGCCTGGCTGCAGAAGACTTCTTCAGCATATGAAGTCACTCGGCCAACACCGAGGAGGCCACGGAAGCATCTTGTGATCCCACCTTCAGCCGCTTGCGGCTGCGAGTCATGGCTCTGAATTCAGGGAGTTTTCACGTCGGTTTCACAGATTATCTAAACTGGCTTGAAACTCCATGAAAATTCACCACTGATGATCCAAATACTGATATTGATTTCCCAACCATGTTAAATTAGTGGCGGGTGGTTGAGCATCTGGCCACTGTTGCATCTGCCAGTTGCTGTAGGGCCCGCGACCTCACTACAGCGTGGTGGCGTCGTGGCTTCGCAGCTACGAAGCTCCAGACAAAGCGCCGAGGCAGGGGCAGATCTGTTGCGGGTCCAAGTACTCCCAGCAGCCGCAATCTTAGCAACTCCCCTCTGGGAATCTGACACAATTTGCCATGGAAGGGTGATTATCCATATGGTCAACCTTAAAATGAGACACTTTGTCACACTTTGTCACACTTTGTCACACTTTGTCACACTTTGTCAATATTAGATTTTCATGGTGATTTTCAATAGCAAACTGTGACAGGTGGTACCGGGAGAATCTGAGGCATGAACTCCCAGCATCAGCAGCCTCGGCAGCCTGCTCCTGTTCAGCCGGCCCACCATCCTCAAGCCTTGAAACCGCTGACCTGGCAGGAAGCCACTAGGTCACTAGGCAAAGGATCAGTGGTGTGATGAATCTTGAGGATTATAAAAAGGAAGTCATACACTCTGTAGGTGGAAATCTACAAGAAACTGATGGGTCTTGCTGGTTGACTGGGTAGTTGTCACTGTTCAAATGTAAGAATGTCCTCTAAATTTCCCATTGAAACCGATTCTGTGAAAGGAAGATGTCCGCCACAAAAAGAACACGCCTGGAAAATAAGGAGTTGAAATAACTACTTTAGATTATCAAGTCGTGGGGCAGGGACAGTGGATGCTTGGGGTATTGGCCCTACAGGAACGTACCTCCAATCCCAAACGCGCAAAACGTCGAAGTGCTTCGTGTTGTCCCGGCCCGTTCCATTCCTGGTGCGACTGGCGATGTGAAATTTCTCTGGGGATGTCCACTGGGGTATCGAAAACATGATTTTTCAGAAGAAAAAAACATGGTGTTGAAACCTCGGTCCGGAGGTTAAAAAAAAATATCTTCCAAGATCTTAAAAACATCGAGGCTGCAACCATTCAGAAATGAAGATGGAAAGGCCGTTGGTGCCTGAGAGGAGTTGCTCTAGACTTTCGACGAGGCTGCGACGAATGACCAGTTTCTTTAGTGTCCGACGAGTACGAAACTTCTTCCTGCAATGACTTGAGGAGATTCAAAGAGGTGCCAAGGTTCATCGTTCTGAAAATCGAGATGAAAATTGGGGGCCCAGAGAAATATCTCAAAATGTGTATCTCAAATGGGTCTCCTCTTTCTGGTTTTGTGTTTTGCTTCAAGGCTTCAAGCCATGCTTCACATGCTGAGCAAAATTCAACGCAAACATGCCAGGCACACAAATGATGAAGAACCTCCCAACGTTCTGTGATGACTTCGACAGAAATCTTGCACTTCCTGCAATGCGTCTGTCTGAAAGGAGTGTAATCCATCCTCTGGTTTATCATCATGTTTCTGTGTATAAAAAGGTACAACATCCATGGAGTGAGGTGTCCCGCACTTTTGAACAAACCCGGATCTTGTGGGAGGGAAGGTTGAAGGGGCAAAGCCCTGAAGTACATATGCCTGGGATAGTGGTAGACAGCTGCTCGTTGAAGAACATAGAGGCGTCGGTTGTCCAAAGTGAACAGACCCTGGGCAGATCCACACAGGGTCGCGCTGTGTCAATGGCGTGGCATCTACAAAGCATCTGAATCATGGTGAAAAAATGTGTGATGCAGCAGCAAAAAAAAAGAACGACGTTGATGTTGGATGTTCCCCCAAGTCAACAGAAGTTGCCAAACATCTTTGCAAAAATCAAAGAATTTCCTCACCCCCTGTTTGCCTCTGGCCTCAACGCCTCGCCGTTCTTCGCCATTTTCATCTAAAACTGGTTTCCCTTCGCCATCCTCGGGCACTCGCTGCTACTGGCGCATCTAAGGCTGCGGTGGCTGGGCTCCCGGCCCGAAGTTTGGGGCACCAACGCACCGCCTGGATGGTTGGGAAGGGCGCTCGTAGCCAGCAGCTGTCCTGGCTCCGGTGGAATGGTGAACATGGGGGCACACAACATCATTTGCTGATCATAAACTGGCTGAGCTCCTTAAACTATATCATAAACTCCAATGTTGACATGAATAATTCTGAACAATATGTATCCATCTGCAGGGATTTGGGCATCGAGTTCTCATTTTGATCCCATGCTTCCCCCCGGTGCCTCATCCTCGTCACATTCGATGGCCTTCACTTCCCTCAGGTCCATCATGAGGAAGATGGCTATGGCTCAAAAGGGATTCAACCAAAAAATTGGGAGTCTCAGTTCAGAAAATGATCAACATTATGACTTTATGAGTCCATCGCTGCCTCGATTTTGAGCCTTACCCACATGACACCCATCTTTGCTTTTTCACAAGCTCGCCAATCCGACACGCTTGGAAACAACCATTTACAAAGACGGGAGTGCCAAAGAGCAGCATGATCATGGAATCTTGTAGTATTGAATCGCTTGTGCTATCTTTTTGTTATCCCAGATCTCACAGGTAGGATGCCCCCAAAAGACTGGTTGGTCTGCATTTCCAAAGGATTATTGTACCCCTTTTGTCGCGTAGCACACAGCCGACCACTGCAAGCAGCCACCTGACGGTTTCGTCCACGGATGTACCATCTGAGAATAAAGGGTAGATCACATGCTGAGAGAAGTGCACCTGCCAACAACAGTTGTGATGAAGCTGCTTTGAATGAAAATCTTGCAGAAATTCGGCCGTTGTTCGATTTTTCGGAACGACGGCTAGGCATGGCTTTTCAACCCCAAAAAGGATCTGATGGTTCAAGTTTACTACCAAACCAACCCATCTGGCTATGCTTCCCAAATTGGGATCTGAATTCCAGGCCTCCAAGGGTGAAACCTCCTCCTGCACCTTTCCACCACCTTCCAGGCCGTGAGCCGATTGCGAGGCATGGCGTATTGCGAGAATGATGATTAAACAGTGCATGGAATGGTTTTTTTCAGACAAAGCCACGTGGAGAAAACACCCCACTCGGAGGATCATCGCTGAGCTGAGGCAATCATGCTCAGCTAAGAGTAGGATAATCCCGGTTTGGTGATAGATGATTTATTAACCAGGGTCAAGTCACCCACTAATAACTAGGATGATCCTTCAAGTATGGTTGAACCATCTTGAAGAGGTTATATAGTTTCATCCCTAGTCTTGGAAGATCTTGGGTGAGCAAGAGAAAGCCTTCTTGGACAACTCGAGACAAAATCATTCCAACAAACATTTATATGAATTGCACAAGATTGTCACTTGAGGCCGGGGGTGGATGACGAAAGCTAGCGGGGTAGGAGAAAGAAGGAAGGGAAGAGGTGAGTTGCGGAGGGACTGTCATCATCGTGTCGCGGCATTGTTCGTCCCAACGAGGATGCAACAATGATATATTGATATATATGATATATAACAATGATATATATGGGGGAGGGGGCCTTTCGCGGGAAAAATCACGTGATGTCCTTGGGGAGCCCCGGAATACGTGCTAAAGCAAGAAGACTCTAGCGAGCTGACGCTAGCTGTCGTGATAATGACAGTAATTGCCAATAATGATAAAATGTAATTGAATAACGATGATGATGATGATGATGATGATGAATGATGAATGATGAATGATGAATGATGAATGATGAATGATGAATGATGAATGATGAATGATGAATGATGAATGATGAATGATGAATGATGAATGATGAATGATGATGATGATGATGGTGGTGATGATGATGATGATGATGATGATGACGAGGATGATGATGATGATGATGATGATGATGACGACGAGGATGATGATGATGACGAGGACGAGGACGAGGACGACGAGGATGATGATGATGACGAGGACGAGGACGAGGACGATGGAGAGGACGATGACGATGACGATGACGATGATGATGACGATGATGATGACGATGATGATGATGATGATGATGGTGGTGGTGGTGATGGTGGTGATGGTGGTGATGGTGGTGGTGGTGGGGGAGGGGGCCCGTACGATGGACAGTTCGAGGCTATTTGGCAGTTAGCAGCTACCGCTATGTGTTTACCTATTTTAATATATCACAAGTAGGCATTGAACGCGCTCAAGGCGCTGAAGGCGCTCAGGGCGCTGAAGGCGCTGAAGGCGCTGGAGGCGCTGAAGGCGCTGAAGGCGCTCAGGGCGCTGAGGGCGCTCAGGGCGCTGAAGGTGCTGAAGGCGCTGAAAGCGCTGAAGGCGCTCAGGGCGCTGAAGGCGCTGAAGGCGCTCAGGGCGCTGAAGGCGCTGAAGGCGCTCAGGGCGCTGAAGGCGCTCAGGGCGCTGAAGGCGCTGAAGGCGCTCAGGGCGCTGGAGGCGCTCAAGGCGCTCAGGGCGCTGAAGGCGCTGAAGGCGCTGGAGGCGCTGAAGGCGCTGAAGGCGCTCAGGGCGCTCAGGGCGCTCAGGGCGCTGAAGGCGCTCAGGGCGCTGAAGGCGCTCAGGGCGCTGAGGGCGCTGAAGGCGCTGAAGGCGCTCAGGGCGCTCAGGGCGCTCAGGGCGCTGAAGGCGCTCAAGGCGCTGGAGGCGCTCAAGGCGCTCAAGGCGCTGAAGGCGCTCATGGCGCTGAAGGCGCTCATGGCGCTGAAGGTGCTGAAGACGCTGAAAGCGCTGAAGGCGCTCAGGGCGGTGAAGGCGCTGAAGGCGCTCAGGGCGCTGAACGCGCTGAAGGTGCTGAGGGCGCTGAAGGCGCCAAATAAACGCTAAGCGTCCATAGCACGGGGGGGGGCCCCCCCTTTCGCGTGAAAAATCACGTGATGTCCTTGAGCAGCCCCCCCAATACTTGCTAAAGCAAGAAGACTCCAGCTAGCTGACGCTAGCTTTCGTGATAAGCAAAGAGTTTCTGGCAGCCACAATGATACCTTCTGGAAATCACCCCCAAAACGGTCTGCAGCCTTCTGCACCGTTTCTCCTCTGCAACAATCGATTCCCTACAAGTTGGACGCAGTGGATGGCAGATTCTCCAAGTCCACTCGTGAGACGGGTGATCGTTCGTCTTGTTCCCAGCAATTGCTGATCCCTACGAAATCTGCTCACGTCAATGGGTATGTAGCCACAAATAAATACAATGTTGCTAAGAAAAAGAGATGATTTAAGCCACATAGGGCTCCAGTATGATTTTGTAGGAACATGGTCAGTTCATCCCATCAGAACATATCAGAACATCTGGGTCTCAGCCAAAGAATTCATCATCCTTGGCGACCTTGGTAGCATAGGATAGCGCATCCTCCTCATTTGGCCGATCCTTCAGGGGTAGCAGCCCTTTCAGCATGTCATGTGATCTTCAATTATTACAGTAGCCATATTTCCAACCTCAATTCTATACATCTGTTGGATGAATATGACTCTATCAATACTCAACCCTAGCTCATGAAAATATCACATCCAAGCCTCTAAAGAAAATCATCCAAAATCACCAACCTTTGATACAACAACAAGAATCCAAGCTTGGTTTCCAGGGTTTCCACGGTTGGTTCCCCACCGTGCCTTGGGCGTCTTGTCCTTATCCCTGGAGGTCACCGGGCGACTCTTCGCCGCGCGCGACCGCGTCGTCGAAGTCGAGGTCGTCGACTTCTTCTTGCGCTTGCCCTTCTCCTCGTCCTCGCGCTCGGCCTTGTCGGCCTTGTCGGCCTTGTCCTCCTGCGAGCTGAAAGAGCTGAAAATCAATGGTTCATATCATTCATATCCAATGGTGAATGCATCCATTAGATAATTTTGTGAATGTCCCCATGAATGGTTCATATCCAAGATTCCTACGAAATCATACGGAGTAGATTTTGAGAGGTCAAGATAGGAACTGCATTTGTTCAATTGGTCAATGAATGTGTGTTATAGATGATCCGCACAATGCAAATCATTGAGCAAAATACAGAAGATTGTACATTGAACGACGGTTTGTTGATGGCATCACCATGTTTGTTCAAGTCAAATCCACATGTTTCTTGGTGAAACCCCAATTTGTGTGTGTGTGTGTGATATCAAGTTGAAGCATAATTTTGTTCGTCACATCAACTTACACCCCCTTTTTATCGGCGCTTTCTCTGGCACCTGCAAAATCTCAAAAACATGTTGAAACCTGATCTCGTCAACCAAATGCTGGTTAGTTCAATCTACCATAGAACGTCTATATATTTCATCTATTTGGCCCAAAATGTCTTGTAATGTTCTTGTGCAGCAATGTCGTAACGTTTACCCATATAAATTGATGGTTGGAATCCCGTCCCTTTATGGTCAAGTTGGAGATGGTGGATCCTATATAACCACACTAATCTTGGGGGTTATATGGCAGTGTGTCAAAACCTTGTACCCCTGGTGAACATCAAAATAGCTGGTAAATGGATGTCCATCCCATTAAAAATGGTATCTATAGGTATTGACCCATACCCATATCCCAACTGATGGGGGTTTTAATTCCCAATTCCCAATGATTATAGCCATTTGTTACCACCATGAACCATGTTTGGAAATCCTCTCCTCCTGGCGAACTTTTCGGACGTTGGAAGTGGAGCGTCCTGCCTTCTCCTTGCTCTCCTTACTCTCCTTCTCCTTCCGCTTGTCCTTCGGTTGGAATACCGGAGTCATGGTGATATCTTCAGGTTTGGTGGTTCATCTTCTCAAATTTAAATGGAATTCAAGTTTCAAGGATGAAACACTTTTCAAACACATCAATTTTGCAGAGGATTGAAATGTCCAACTTGATGATGTTTGAGCTGCCACTTCGCCACAACCTTGTGTTGATCATTTTGTTCGCAAGAAAATGCCAGGATCCACATCTGATTTCTTCAAGAATCTACAGTTGGTAAAACTCCCAATCTATCAATGAATTTCAACCCTCCAATAAAACTTACAGTGGTTAAACTGGTTAAACCCTCAAACAGTCAGTTAGTCACCCATGTTGTGGTTGTGTGTTACACAAAAAATTAAAACATCAAACATGTCCCCCATCTTTCATGATCTCAAGCCTTGATGGGCCACGTCTATGCTTCAAAATCCCACTAAAAACCATCCAAACATTACCCCATTAGCCTTGATGGTTTCAAAGTGTATAGAGGTGTATTATATACATATATATATATATGTATATGTATATATATATATATGTATGTATATATATATATGTATGTATGTATATATATATATATGTATATATACATATATATATATATCTCACCATAGATCGACATTTATCCCACAGCCATGCTACTATTCTGGGTGGCTGTCTGCTTTTTTCGGGTACCCCAAAATCCCATGGTTTAGAAATGCCAAAAATTTGGGCGCAGATTCCCATCTCTTAGCAAACCCAAAAAAAAAACCAATGATTGCTGGTTTTCATACTCCCAGACTCCCATGACAAACATGTTTGTTGTATCCAGGAATAACCATCAATATCCCCATGAATCTATTATACCCCATTTCTGGACAAACTCATACTTCAATGTAATGACCTTCTTCTTGGTAGAATATCTCTTCAACCAATACGGCAGATTTCCTCGTCAAAGTTTGGACATATTAGACTGGAATAAACCAGGTAAATCTGTTTATCTATCTATCTATCTATCTATCTGTCTGTCTGTCTGTCTGTCTGTCTGTCTGTCTGTCTATATATCTATCGATCTATCTATCGATCTATCGATCTATCTATCAATCTATCTATCTATCTATCTATTGTATCTATCTAATCTATCTATCTATCTATCCATCCATCCATCCATCCATCCATCTATCTATCTATCTATCTATCTATGTGTACCGGCAAATACATGTAATTATATACTATATATATATATACATATATATGTATCATAAAGGATCTTCGAATCTAGATTTTCGGAAGTCTGCGGAAGTCGTCTCCTCTTCCTCCTCCTCCTTCATTTTGGTCGCCTTCTTCTTCTTGGGCTTCTCTCGTTGCTTCGTGGCCTTCCGCGCCTGCCGCTTCTTGCGCCGCAGCGCCGCGCTGCCGTCGTCCTCAGAGTCGGAGACGTCGTCGCTGTTGCCGTCGTCGGGGAAGAGCACCTGGAGCTCCTTGCAGACCAACATCACCTGGTCCAAGGCTCTGTGGATGGAAAGATTGTAATGGTTAAAATGCTTGTAGTTAATGGATATTCATGGATATTGATAGGGAATGATGGACATGTTATAGTTGTAATATATCCAACAATAGTTGAAATATCATACGGACTTGTACTATAGGGAATATGTTCTAGTTGTGTTATAGGGAATTATCATTAATAGGGATCCACTATAGTTGCAGTATAATAATTCCCTATTGTTGACATTGCAAGGATTTGCCATCACCTGCAACATTCCCTATTGTTGGAGCAGAAAATCAATAGTTTGTATGTTGTAACCAATAGAGAGTTTTGATGAAACATAGGGAAAAGAAAATTGCGAGTTACATCACCTGACGGAGCGAAAAAACATGTTTGGAATTTGGCAAGGCGGTCAATAGTTATACTTTATGTAGAATTATATATATATATGGAATTACAGTAGATGGACAAAAAAATCAAACCCCACAGACATCTACCAAGTAAAACCCCACACCCCAAATTTCAATGTTGCACAAAACTCTACCTAACTTCCTCTGCGTTCAGGGTTTGATGTTTTTGTCCACCGGACCCAACCGCGCAGCCCAAAGACAACATTGAAATTTGGGGGTGCGGGGGTTGACAATAATACAGCAAGGGTTTGATTTCATCGTCCATCTACGGTAGTACAGTATGAATACAATATGAATTAGAATTTTGGAAGAATTTGGGGATGTACAAAAATGATTAGGTTGATCATCTTTTAGTAAATCATGAAAAATGGAAATTGCAAGTTGATTGGGGTTTACAATACTGCAATTGGCTTGATCACCCAAAATTGGTTTGTGAGACGAGCTGTAACTATTTTGTGGGCGATTCATGTAGTATTTTAGCAGGCTTTACGATAAGAGGGGTTGTTGACGACATGTGTCAATCGATATTTTGCGAAGCCCCGCCTTGCCCTGATCTGGATCACAAAAGTCCAGGATCGCATCACAAACCTGGCTGCTTCAGGGTTTCCTATATTCTTTCCTCTGTCAACATGCCTTTTGGGGTTGGGTACATAGCATTTCATTACCAAAAAGAGATGCTTCACCTACCCAAAAATGGTCAAATGGGAGGACTGCTGTTAACCCGCCTCTATATAGAAACCCAAAAAACGATTGAGTTGTATATTAACTTATATTATATGATACATCCCAAATGTTAGTTTTGCACCAATTATCCTCAATCTTGGGGGTGGTTCCAGTTAAAATACGAAGTTTCACCAGCGCACCATGTAGCCCATCTCTTCCAGGTGTCGAGTGGTGAAGTGCTGTTCCCCCAAGGGTCCAAAGTCGGCACCACAGAAGGAGGCTTCCAGGGTGTAGGAGTTGACTACTCCCAACTCACCTGGGAAACCACGGTCCGAGCCCAGTACATGTTGCCATAGAATATGGGGCCATCTATACGATGATACCGAAAATATACTCCCAATCGAATCTTTCATGACATTAATTGGTCATGGTTCCCAGCTTCCCTCCTAAAGGTTGAACATCTGGTGTACAAATGACCATTCTCCCAAAGATGGATGGATAGATAGATAGATTGATTGATTGATTGATTGATTGATTAATTAGATTATATATATATACAGATTAGATTAGATTAGATTAGATTGGATTAGATTAAGATTAGATTGGATAGGATAGAGATATAGAGATATAGAGATATAGAGATATAGAGATATAGAGATATAGAGATATAGAGATGTAGAGATATAGAGATATAGAGATATAGAGATATAGAGATATAGAGATATATAGATATATATAGATATATATAGATATATATATATAGATATAGATATATAGATATATAGATATATAGATATATAGATATATAGATATATAGATATATAGATATATAGATATATAGATATATAGATATATAGATATATAGGCATAGACATAGACATAATAATATAAATAGATATAGAATAATATAGATATCTAAGGGAAACTCTGAAAACTTCCGACTGGTCGCGATATGCCACGACCCGCGCGGTGGACTCCTTACTCTTCTGGATCTTGAAGCAGCAGTCGTCGAAGCTGAAGCAGTCCGAGCTGCGACACAGGAGGCCCGGAAAGATCTTCTCCTTGAAATTTTCGCCACCGGGGAAACCCCAAAAAAAAAATGGGAAAAAACAGATTCCCCAAACAGAAAAAAACCAAGATTCGTGGATTTGCCGTTGGGAAAGTCAAAAATGATTAAAAAAAATATCGATTCAGCAAATCCAGGTCTCTCGCAGGCCATTGCTTTCACTGTTGCCATACATAAAGACCTGATGACGGATGATCATGGCTGGAAAAAATGCTGGAAACGGAAAGACATATATATATATATAAAGAAATGGAATGAATCCTGAGATCGGTGGACGATTCCAAAATGTTTGAAACCAAGTAGTCATTTGGGATTGGAGAAACTCATCAGAAATACAGGAAGATGGAATGTCATGGAATGTCAACAAATCTTCCAGGTACATTCTTCTTGCGGCTGTGCCCGTGAATGTCCACAAAGAGAATCACCTCTCGATCATCCAGAAGGTGACGAAACATGCTTTTGGTAAAGAAAATCGTCGGATGCATCTTGCGGCTGGGTTCGTCCCATAGGCGGTTCAGGTCCTGCCCTGCCAGAGAGCATCGGTAGTTGCCCACGATGACTCCATCGGGATTCAGCATCGGAACGATCTTAAAAACAAAGTTGTCCCGGAGAATTCGCGCATCCACCGAAGAACCAGTCAAATAATCCAGGATGCCCTGATTTCAGACTGGAACTCCGTTTTCAAAAAAGATGTCCATGAAAAAATGGAAGATTACGTAACCACAAAAAAGCAAATAACCAACCATAAATACTGATCATATAGTATTTCCATACTAAACATTACTAAACTAACCATCCCAACTACATAGCTAACCACCCCAAACCACATGATCCCACCGTGCCTTCATGACCCAGGAGGCATTGGACTCCCCCGGGTGCACCCGTGCCGTGATCACCACAGCACGGCGCGCCTTGAGAGCTGCTGGGTCGCTACAGAAGGAGGTGATGGTGATCAGATCGCAGGCGTTCCCCGCCAGGGTGTCGCAGAGCTTGCGCCGCCGCAGGCGGCGGACCATGTTGGGGTCCTCTCGTAAAACTGAAAGAATCGGCCAATTTTTGCGAAAGTTGAGCAAAATTGGGGTGGTTCAGTGGTGAGAAATCAATGGTGATTTCACTGCCAAACATGCAAGCGGTGTTGAGAAAGCAGCATCAAAAATTGTGATTGAACCACCAAACGTGGAGGATTTTAGATGGTCGCCAACAATTTTACGGATTTGAAACCAGTTCATTACCTGGAAGCCCTTCTGACCGTGGTGACTACCCACTTGCGTAGGTGACCGTCCAAATCATGGAGTTCACAACATCAGCGTTTGAAAGGTGCATCAACTACTTATGGACCCCCATTGACGTTCAAATCTTTTGCAGGCAGAAGATATAGACCACGGTCCTTTTCGAGCGCCAGCAAATCCATTTGCAAATCAGAATAGGTGTAGGGATAGCAATGTGAAAAATAGACCTCATCACAATCATGATCAAAAGTGACTGTGAAGGTCAAGGTGTAGTAGTTGGCTCCCTTTTGCCGTCGCAAACCATTTTGGTAGTACGCGATACGGTCACCGCAGCGGACCCAGCCGATGCCTTTGGATGCTTGGATGCAGGAATACTGGAGGGGTCGCATGCCCTCATTGTACACCGAGGTGGGTTTCACCATGTTGATGATGTTGAAACGATATTGCGGGCCGCGACGCGTGTTGCCCACTCGGAAGAAGTACCACTGAGTGTGTGACTTGGTGTTGTAGTCTGGGTTCAAGATCAAGTCATACCTCAGAAGTCAGAGATGCAGCGATGATCACAGAGAATCAGACACCCTAGTCATGAAACCAACAGCTTTGCACCTTGAACCATCCTTGTTTGGGGTGTGACTTGGAGGGGGGGTAACGGTGACGGCCATCTTGATTGAACTCCACGGACACCGCTCTGAACGCAGCATGACCAGTCCTGGATGGTATTGCGCTGTATTTGCATTACACCTGGAACCCAAATGAACCTCGTTTTCGGTGCGTTTTGGACCACACTTTAAAACAATGGAACATGTTTTGGATGCGTTTTTGACCCCCAGATGAACCAACCAAATCCTCGGACCCAGTCACTCGAACTCATATGCTTGGACAGCACGTCGAAGGTTGCCACTTTCAAAACGGCTTTCAAAGAACAAGGTCCGGTCGTCAGGTCCTCAACTGGATGCAACTGGCAAGGAACAGGAGGTAACATGGCACTCATTTCTGTCTGAAACCATCCAAAAAATGGGGCTTTGGCTGTACCCTTGGGTTGAATCGACGAAATTCACGTTGTCCTGTCGGTGTGTAGTACGGTGCCAGATGGGATTTGAGTTCAGTTCGTGGCTGAAATCCCACACCACCAGGGCGCGCGTCCTGAGACAAATCGCAGTGCAATGGCAACCAATCAAGGAATCTCAAAGTGACCCGAACGGCGCCAGGTTTTTAACTGCCATGGGCATCTTATTGCCCCTTTAAAACTGCCCAGATAGCCAAGCATCAGGCCCCTGACTGAAGGACGGCGGGCTAACCTCCGCTTTGAATGGATCCCCCACGCTATCATACACGATGCGATTCCTCACCTGTTCCGGCTGGCTGATACGTTCTGCCTCCGCCCTCACAATCTCATCAAAGAGCGTCTCAGGCGCGGTGTACAGCAGCTCCGCCTCCTTTCAGTCTATGTCGAACCCCTCAAACTCAGGATTTAAAATCTAGATATTTACTTTCTACTTCCAGTTTTTCTTCATTTTCAGCCATCTTCATCAAGCGTTCTCACTTAAAAGAAAACATGAAACCCCCAATGTTTTCCCCAGTTCCATGTATCTGTTCCATAGATTTCCATAGTTCCATCCCATCCTCCGGCACTTTGCGCACGAACCGCGGCGTGGCCACCATGGGAATGGAGATCCCCGTCTGCGGCGTCGGGACAGCAGAGGCCTGGACCGCGGCCTCGGGCGCCGAGCCCAGCTCGGCCGCAGCCGTGAGCGACGTGCGGTCCGCGCCCAGGGCGGCCTCTGCCTCTAGTTCCACACCGGCCAGGCGCAGGATCTCGTCCTTGGAAGAGGTTTCCATGGATTTCCTGGGGCCCTTCGGGCGCTGGGGTGGATCACGATGTGAAATATGTGAAATGTGGGCTGGGAGTGCCTGATCCACATCTTTGGAGTGCTGAAACAAAGTTTAGGGACTTTGATGGGGGGTTCAAACACAGATTAAACCACAGAGTGGCATATCCTTTTCAGGATTTCAATGTCCAAATGTTTGGAGGACATCAGAAAATGTTAGACCACAAGAATTGGCAGGCATTTGGCAGGCATTTGGCAGGCATTTGGCAGGCATTTCCAACATCAATCTCTGAAGAATGTGAACAAACATAGACATAGCATGATATGGAGAGAAGGTCGAACCCTAACTTTCCAGCTTTAAGGCAACTTGCCCTTACAATCACAGCATAAGCTCCTTGAGGAAGAACCTGGTCAGGACTTCTGCGTATCAACCTTGATTGCAAACCGGATACTGTGGCTGATCACTGGTACCCTGGCCTGCCCATGGAAAAATATGAAGAGAAAGGATATTCACCAACGCCTTAACCAACCATTACCAACCAATCAGCTAGTGCTGAGTGGTGAATTTTCACCTATCATCTTGGCGTCACCAAAGGTCCAGCTGTGCAGCTCCCAGTGTGACGAGCATCTTTCACACCAACTTCCTCCCGGTCCACATCATCCGGATCCTCGAAGGCGTCCACGTCCTCGACTTCCTGCACCATGGGATGATCCCATGATTTTCTGGAAATGAGACTGTTCTTTGCTATGGCATGCTATGGCCAATGCTCTGCTTCTATCTTCCCCATTTTTGGGCGAGTTCATGTGGCTTCTATCCTATTTTCGTGGACTTCCCTATCTTCCATCCCCATGTTTTTACGTCAGCATTTTCCATGGCCAAAATCACCATGTTTCTGTGGTCTCCGGATTCTCCGGCGAACAGTCACCGCTCCTCGTCCATCGGTTCGTCGTTGGACTCCTCCCCACCCGACTCACCATCGGAGGGGCGATCGCTCTGCTCCCCCTCCTCGGAAGAGGAGAGGAAAAAACCCATGTTTGACGCTTGAAATCCGTCGAAACCATATAAACCCCCCATGTTTTATGGCTTGAATCACGATTTCTCTGGGCTGAATCCCAATTTTGGTGGGTGAATCACTATGTTTGATGTCTAAGAAACACATGTTTTAGGTGTTTAGTCCCTATTCTTATGGTTTAAACTCGCCGTGTTGCCTGGAGCTAATCCTCATCTTTGTGGATGAATGATCCACAATATATTGGAGATGATGTTCGTAAATCCCAAACAAAAATCAACAGAATCAACCAACCAAAATGTGGAAATTAATCAGTAAAGACCATCGGCTATCATTTCTCAAGTAAAGTGAAAGCCAATTTTCAAGGCCGTGCGCAATACGATTCTTTACGGTTTCCCCAATATGAACCATATCATTTCTGGGGGTCATTTGAGGCGCTTGTTTTTCTCCAGGTTATGGTAACCCATCGTCATAGGGATCATCCCAACTTTGAGGAGATGACTTTGCCAGCGATCTGAAGCCACCAGCCAGTGATGAATAGTCATGGTGTTAGGATGAGCCCAAAATCTGCCAAATAAGTGGCTGTTTCTATTCTGTGAGGATGTGTTTGACTGCATTTTACTATTACTAAGTATTTAAGAACCAACAAAGGAACATGCTTCACATCATGAAAATCTCAAACGAATAAAGGGACTAGAAAGTGTATGGATATCGATATATATGTTTACAATTCTTATCAAGAAAATACAAACAACACAAAACAAGACCATCCAATTGAGGGCACCAAAAAAAAACTTTTTTGCCACGTCGTACGGATTTGTTTACGCCTTCCCTGATGCGGACACAGTCCCAGCTGATGCAGCAACAAAATGGCGTTAAGCTTACATTGAAGGTTTTGCTTCCGCCAAAGTCCTTTTGACAGATTCCCAATCAAAACAATGCACAAAAGCTGTTTGGGCTCGACATTTATATCTATTATGTCAAAAAAGACAACATCATCCAACTGCACCAACATCAATCATCAACGGAAAATCTTGAAAAACCCACCAACCAACACCACCCATCCATCCCTGGCAGAGCATCCGAGGACCGCTCCAGCTCCCCTTCAGCATCCCGCGGAGCCACCGGCGAGGTCGGCGACGTCACGATGGGCATCTGCTCATTGGCATCGCCCAGGTAGCCACCGATGCCTTCGTCTCCCATGGCGTTGAAACGTGCCACAGAGCGCGAAAGCGCACGGGCGCTGGTTAAAGGACGGTCACCATGGCTGCAGCTGCCATTTTGGTTGGGATGTTCTTGGACTTGGAAATTCGATTTAAAAAGCTGATTTTATAAGTCTTTGAAAGATATCGAAAGTCTGTAAACATATGTAAATAATGGTTCCAACATCACTCACATTCTTCCAGTGAGCTACTGAGAGTTTGCCTAGTCCTGCTTGGGTGCACTTTGAAAGCCCTTGACAAGCGGATGGGCACTAGAACCCAGCTTTGTCCTTCCATTTGCGTTCACTCGGAAGGTACCTTTGACCTTCAGCAAAAAACTGGCGCACATGCGAACAGTCAGACCATGGACACCAGATTCTCTGTTTGTGAAGTGAACTAAACATATTCCCAAATTATCCCAAGTGATCAAATCATGAATTACACGCCTGACAGTATATCGCCTTCACAAAGTTAAAGTGATCCTTTGTCATCCATATTCAATGGTCTTTTTGGGCCAAAATTGGGGAGCACCTCCGTCTGTCCAGTCGGCCATCACTGACTAAGCCTCGAAGAAGCTGCAAAGTGGCTGCATCTGCTTCAATCACCTTTGGCCAAAGGTTGCCATTTATCAAGGAATGAAAAGATGGCTGAAATGGGATTTGAATTGAACCATCCAAAAACACAGGAACTTAGCATGAATTCACCATCAAAACATGGCATGGTGACCCTTTTTTTGGTGCGTCAATGGACCTGCAAATGGCGACATTTGGTCTGAAAACTCAACAACCATCAAAATCAAATGGTCAGCGACTTCAAGTGGTGCTAACCTCAATGTTGGGCATCGCATGAGAGCAGCTGGGCAGCGCTGTGAAATTGGCAATTGCGTCAATGTACTGAAACCTTGAGGACTGTCAAAAAGTCCGAACAGGTTGGCTCGTGGAAACGGGGTGAAATGCCAGTCTCTAACCTGTATCTTCTTTTACATTAGTGTCCCAAACATGCCAAAAAAGTAACAAATGGCAATGTGGATCGTTTGAAACTTTTGGAATATTTCTCAAGTGATAACAACAAGGGTTGACCCCGATGAGTGCTGTTGCAGTTTCTTGCTGCCGGTAAAGTTCTCACGCTGCATATCCATTTCATCATGTGCCCTGCTCAAGCCCAGCAGCTGCGCGACATGCAGTGATCAGCACTTGGACCGCAGTTGCTAAGTGGATAGTAACCATGGTGATCCTAAGTCCTCCTATAGGAAGTCATATGGGGGTTCTTTAAAAGGGGGATCCCCAAGTCACCATAGATTCCAATACTAATGACTTGGATGGTTTGGGGATACCCTCATGGCACAGGACACCTCCAGAGGGGAAACTGACCCATGACTTGGGCATCTCGAAGCAGTGCCGAAGCCGCTGCGATTTTGTCCGCCCTAGTGCTCTGTGCACGCCTCAGGTTCCTCTCCGCTCACGCGTTTGCGCTTTCTCACTGGAACCTCGCAACCCCTAAAGTTTCTGCACAGCGATGCAAAAAAAGGCAACAACAACTGCAGAAACTGCATTGGCCGGGAGAGTTCAAAATCAGGATTGATTAATGAATTGATTAGTGAATCATTTTTGAGAAGGGGAAACCAGTAGTTTTGGGGCCCCCCAATTTCACAGTTGGATCTCTGCCTGCATAGGCTCGGCTGAGTTGCCTGGGGAGGTTCACTGGCAAAAAGTATGATTGGCCTGCGAAATTTGCCCGAAATATACATATGCGTTTATGTAGTATATGTATGTAAATATATAATATGGGTATAACAAATATGGGTGTGTATATATATAATGGATATATATATATAATATGGATATATCTATATAATATGGATATATATATATATATAATATGGATATATATATATAGTATGGATATATATATATATATTTATATATATATATGTAATGTGGGTGTGTATATATATATATGTACACAAATATATATATATACATATATATATATTTACATATATATATATATTAAAATTATGTATATTATATATACATATGTCTATATATATATATATATATGCGTACAAAGTACCTCAGGGTCAGAAGTTTGTCAGCTGTTCCGTGGGCATTTTTGGTTGAAATCCAGTGATGATTCCCATCCCAAGGCCATGCCTGTTGTGGACGCACCACTCGCCTTCAGACAAGAATGGAAATAGTCAGATCAATGGATGGGCTTAAGGGAAAATCAGCAGGAAACCATTGTTTCTTCCATCATTTCTAGGGGTTTGCTGAACATTTTCCTATCACCCAACAGCGTTGCATCACATCTGCACGCGCAACTGCACGTGAACGTCCAGGAGCGTAGCATGACGTCTGTGCGCAAGTGTACTTCAACGTTATTACCCCCCCCACCCCCAGTGACTAGTTTCCTCCGCATCCCTCGCATATTCACAGGGTGCCCGCACATCAGGGAAAGCCGAAGACTCGAGGCCTTCAGGCTCTGGGACCTCAGAGAAACTGGAAATCGATGAGGAAAACCATTAGTTGATAGCGATTCCCAGGATAAATCGCATAATAGATTGTTTTATACTGTATGTCTGTATGTCTGTAAGTCTGTATGTCTGTATGTCTGTATGTCTGTATGTCTGTTTGTATGTGTGTATTTATGTATTTATGTATTTATGTATTTATGTATTTATGTATTTATGTATTTATGTATTTATGTCTGTTTGTATGTGTGTATGTGTGTATTTATGTATTTAGGTATTTATGTATTTATGTCTGTATGTCTGTATGTCTGTCTGTCTGTATGTATGTATGTGTATGTATGTCTGTATGTATGTATGTATGTGTCTGTATGTATGTATGTATGTATGCATGCATGCATGCATGCATGTATGCATGCATGCATGTATGTATGTATGCAATGTATGTAATGTATCTATCTATCTATCTATCTATCGATCTATCTATCGATCTATCTATCGATCTATCTATCGATCTATCTATGGATCTATCTATGTATCTATCTATGTATCTATCTATGTATCTATCTATGTATCTATCTATGTATCCCTCTATGTATCCCTCTATGTATCCCTCTATGTATCCCTCTATGAATCTACGTATCTACAGTATCTACGGTATCTACGGTATCTACGGTATCTACGGTATCTACGGTATCTACGGTATCTACGGTATCTACGGTATCTACGGTATCTACTTACGGTATCTACTTACGGTATCTACTTACGGTATCTACAGTATCTACGGTATCTACGGTATCTACGGTATCTATGGTATCTAAGGTATCTATGGTATCTATGGTATCTATGGTATCTATGGAATCTATGGAATCTATGGTATCTATGCATCTATGCATCTATGCATCTATGCATCTATGCATCTATGCATCTATGCATCTATGCATCTATGCATCTATGCATTTATGCATCTATGCATCTATGCATCTATACATCTATGCATCTATGCATCTATGCATCTATGCATGTATGCATGTATGCATGTATGCATGTATGCATGTATGGATGTATGGATGTATGGATGTACGGATGTACGGATGTACGGATGTACGGATGTACGGATGTATGTATGTCTGTCTGTCTGTCTGTCTGTATGTATGTATGTATGGATGTATGTATGTATGCACAGTTCATACAATTCATATAGTATAGCCCCAAATGTGGGAGCGTGAGTCCAAAAGTTGGCGTTACACCAGTTCCCACAGCTTCAATTTGACATCTAGTATCCTTTAACCATCAACAAACAAAACCACATTTTTTGGAAAAAATATCAAGTTGTATCTGTATCCTGATAGATCCCCACAAGTTTTTCGGGTTCATTCACCATTTTCCACGGTGAAACAACATGTTCCGAGCCATCCCCGACCCCATCTACGCGCCGGAACAGCGTCTCTGTTTGGCTCGGCCAGCAACTCCAGCGTCGCCAAGTGGGACTTCGCCTGCGCCTGAACTGGTCAGGAAGATTGAAAATATCAATACTTCGTGTCGTGAAATTATTTATAAGTTTGTAATATCTAAATATGTATTTATAACATATATATATAATTATATATATATATTGCATATTTCTACGTAACTTATACATACATGCATATGTATACAACTACATATCAAAAGACAAGACCATGATTTTAGTTGTGTATATTATCATTTTGATCCACCGACCAACAAAGACCCTGGTAATCGACTTGTTTCTTGCTAACCTTCCAGCCCCTAACTCATGACAGCGTCGACATTAGTTGGTGGGATTGCGGATAAGTCCGGATAAGTATGCTTCAATACTGTAAACATCAAACCTGCGAGGAATCTTTGCTGCAACCCTTTGCAAAGGCACTTGAGAGAGTCACAGCTCCAAATGGGTATAGGTCGAGATGATTGACCTACCAAAAAAATGTATGGATTTATGCTGCACTAAACTCACTAAACATTACTAATGACCAATTTGGTGGTTTTTTTCAATTGACCCCCCAGTCATATCTTCTGGTCGACCCTTTAGCTGCCTTCTCTTCGTCTGTCTGGCAATAGGTCAATGCCTTTTTGCACCTGGTGACATGCTAAGCAGCGACCCACAAAGGACGCTCGGCAATGTACGGCATAATATCATATAAAAACCCCAAAAAATGGCTGGTTAAATACTCACCAATTTTTAACGGGAAAAAAGGATCTCCAGTTTTGAAGCCGTAGCCATTGTAGCCATGCCACGATTGTTCTGCACTTTGTTAGATGATTGTTTATATTACCGCAACAATGTTCATGCGAATAACATAGAATGAATTCAACATGCGAATGAAGGTGCTGATACTCTTCCAACAAATCTCCGATCAATTTTTTGTTTCAATGATCCGAAGAGAAATCCCATCATCCAAAGATTCCTGAGGCAATGGCTCCTCCACTGCCGAGCTCTTGTGGCCCTGAACTTCAGGGCATGGCATGGCAGAGGATGGGATCTTCCAAGCAGTGAGTTGATGAGTGCTGCACCTGAAGACATAGAAGGTCAGCGATGCGAAGATGGCATTGAGCCAGGAGAAAGGACGGTTCCTGTGGCGCCAGTGACCACAGTGACCCTACCCTCTGGTAATGACTAACATAGCTATTGAAAATACCCCATTTATAGTGGATTTTCCCATTGAAAATGGTGGATCTTTCCATAGTTATGTAACAGTTTACCAGGCCGGGTAGTTGATCAGTGATTCCAGTGATCACCATGGTGACATCTGACCCTTCGATCCGTCGAAGATTTGACAAAGCGCTGGCCTTTTGCTCAAGGCACCGCCTGCCGGAGATGAACACAACTTCCCTGGAGCTATTGGCTAATTTCAGGACCTATCCCCTAGACATATTATATGACATGTATATATATATATATATATGTGTACAGTATATATACATACATACATACATACATACATACATACATATATATATATATATATATTATATATATATATGTGTATAATGTATATATAGAAATACTCAGCATGCATGTAGACATGTAGAATGATTTGTAGCTGCATTCCAGGATCAAGACCGTCACCAGCACTTGGATACCCATTCTTGGATTCCCATCAGGTGTCCATCCCGTGATTTTACGGTGGCAGGTTGCTACCCTTCTGGCCTTGCTGTCTCCAGCGCTTCCCATGCCTCGGAAAAAGGGGGGGATATCCATTTTGTTCGGGTTATACGGCCACAGATCCGAGGTGGCATTGGACTAAACAAGACACACCGGTTTGGTGGATGTGTAGCCCATTTTGTGGCTTTGTCTGACGGAGTATGGAAACATGGATTTGCCAACTTTGGAAGCGTATACTCCCCATTTTGGGGAGAAATTATTGTATGGTCTTCGGGATGTTCTTTTTTGTGGGGCAACTATGCTATACATACGGGGCACCCCTCTCACCCCAAGGTTTCCACGCCACTTCCAGATCCTCCTCCAACTCCTCTAAACGTTCACCTTGGATGAAGGGAAATGGAAGGAGGGGTGGGTATATCCCAAGAATGTTGAATTTTGGAACAATAGGAAGTACTGTAGGAAAAATGAAAAGTAGCGCAACATGCAATCAAAATGCTAGGGGAACACTTAACTGTTGTGTTTTTGTTTTGCTGATACCAGCAATTTTGTGAGATACTGGCACAACCAATCTGGGTGTCTCCTAAAATGAAGGGATGCCCTGGTAGTACTGACAATACTACCAAGGAAAATGGGATGATTACCAGTCAGTAGATTTGGTGATATCCCCCATGATGTTTAGATTTATCGTTTGGAAACGGAGGAAGAATCATCCACCTGCAGAGTCTACCTCTGCAAGCACTGCTTTGAGGCTCATGCAGGACTCATCTGGGCCGTCCAAAGAACCCAAGATGACCTGGACAGAAGGCTGGTAAATCCCGTCCCAGACACACTCTTCGCCTTCGATTCTGTCAAACACATCTGGCTACATGCCCAGGCCAACATATTCATTTCTGGTTCAACAAACTGTGCTGAAAATTATCCTTCGAGTTGCTCTAGTCAGAAACCTGTCATTCGAGCGGTAAACATGTAGGTTCGCTGCGTGTCACAATTCAAAGCCCAGGAACATGGCCATCCTCTTTTGCCCACGCACAATTGCAGCATTTGGGAGGCACAGCCTCCATTTGTGAGTTATTTGCAGCATTTAAGAGCCACAACCTCGTCACTGGACCCTATCTGCTTGCATATTTGATATTTCGAACATATCTAAGCACATACTTACCCATAACCTGTTTATATAGTGCCTTAGCGTACCTCACACATGGTTTACTTTTCATTTTATGCCTTTACACTACATATTTGCTACCTACTATACATTACTCAAAACGTACCTACGCATACCTATATACTATGTAATATACTACATATACAGACCCACACTAACATTATATACCTCTGTGTAGTGTAGACGTTCCCTCATGCCCTCATCACTACTCCGTCCACCCTGTATAGCACCCCAATCACCCCAAAAAAATGGGGAATATATACTAGCATATACTAGCATATACTAGCATATACAATCGCTACACTTGTTTCCCATAGCGTACCCAAAAAAACGACTCATTGCATGGCGGTCCCATTATCACTGACACGCAGGCACCTCCTCAGCGACTTCGGCTGAGTCGGGGCCACCAGGCACACCTTCTCCGGTGACACCTTGGGAGATCAGTCTGGAGAAGGTCCTACAGATCTGGCCATTTTTTGTACCAAAATGGACCAAATCTCTAAGAATTGCTGTGAGACACAGAAAAACCATGGGTTTCCCTAACAAAAAAAATACACGTCAAATGACGCATAGCAAAAGCGTGTGTATACGCTTATATAATCATACACATTGAGCATGGCAAAGCATTGGGAAGCTCAGAAACACAGTGATGCATCCCATTTCTAGACCTTGGGTGATCCCCTCATTCGCTCAGAGCGGATTTGCAGACTCAGCCATGGCAGGGAGGTGAGGACTAGAGGTGGAAATGTTGAAAAAATTGCACCTAACTGTAGGTCATCAAAGGAGTCCCCAACATGAAGGAAAATGATTGAAACTGTGACATCCAGTGCAACTTTGACATGTTTTCCAGGAGGGTCCTGGCACCCAGAAACCTCTAACAGGTTCCAGACTTTCCTCAATCTCCTTCAGCAAGGCAGAACCATATCTGAACCTCAGCAGTTTCGGGGATGATCAAAATCCATGAACTGGGGAAATCCTGTTTTCACCAACCAAATCTGACAGGGATAAAAACAGTTAGTTGGCTATAGAACAACCATTGCAATCATATGTCTATATATACATATATACATACAGATATGTATACATATATATATATACGTATATATACGTATATATACATATATATATATATACATATGTATATATACCTATATATACATATATATACATATATGTATATACATATATATATATATACATTGTGAATTGAACTCATTTGAGCATCTTGTTGACTTGAAGACACCACGATAACACCCAGGTACACCAGTTTAGGTCTCTACTTTTCCATAGGCATGTATGCTCGAGAGAGCCCTGGAGACGTGGTGGGAGGGTCATTTGCCTTGGCCATAGCTACTGGTTCCTTTTGGCTGTGGAAAGCCATTTGCGGTAGTGGGACTACCTTGGATCGTGTGGCAAAAGCACGAGGGCGTGCGTGAGCGGTCAGGTGGCCGGTTGGTGGAGATCTTGGAATTGATAAGGGGGCCCGCTATCCAATCACATTGGTAGCGGAGCCCCCGGTGCAAGCTAAACCGGGGGCATCCAGGTACCTTTTGGGATTTGATTGACAAATTTGTGTGCGAGGCCATCTCAAATCTTTGACAGGAACGACATGTCAGGTGAAGGATCAGAGACGACAGGTGGAAGCATATCAAGTCAGTTAGCTTATTTGGTGCCGAGTTTTGACCCAAGCAAGGACGATGTACAAATTTATCAACAGAAGGTTCAACTTGTTTTGTCAGTGTGGCCTGCAGCAAAAGTTTCTGAACTGATCACCCGACTGATCTTAAACACCAGTGGTTCAGCATTCGCCAAGTTGCAACTTCATCAGACAGAGCTGTGTGTGAACGATGCCAAAGGCGTGAAACGCCTGATTGAGATTCTGGGCGGACACTGGGGCCGAACCGGCCTCGAGAAACGCTACTCCGATGCCGAGAAAGCCATCTATCAGTGCAATCAACAGCAGGATGAAAGTCACGATTCCTATCTTGCCAGAGCTGACATTCTGTGGACAAAACTCAGGACTCAGGACTTGAAGCTTGAAGATCTTCAGGCCTATGTGACTCTCCGTGGTGCCATGCTGACAAATGATGATAAGAAGCGTGTCATTATTGAGAGCGACAATTCTTTGGAAGGAAAATTGACAGTAACCAAGGTGCAGGATTCAATCAGAATGCTTGGGACTTCATTTTTCCAAGAAATGACAGGTCAAGGAAAGAAGTCTCTCAAGACGAAAGTGTACGATTCAGTCAACATGTCACTGGATGTTTCTGAAAATTCCACAGATGCAGATGAATATGCCAACGTAGCCAGTCATGATGAGTGGACGGAAGAGGATTTCACTGAAGTGTTAGCACAAGAAGGCGACGACGACGCAGTGTATGTCATGGACTTTGAGACGGCGGCAGCAGATGTGTTGCAGGGAGACGAAGAACTCGCATCAGCATACACCACATATGTAGATGCCAGGCGAAAACTCAGTGAAAAATTCCGTGCCCGTGGTTTCTGGCCTGTTGGTAAGGGGAAGAAAGGATTCTCCAAAGGAAAGTTCAAATCCAAGACGGGTTGGAACGGCAGCCGAAAGAGTTTGCAACAGCGAATTCTTGAAAGTAATTGCAGGATATGTGGAAAGAAAGGGCATTGGAAATCCGAGTGCCCACAGAGATCTCAGTCCAATTCCAGTGGTTCAAGCTCAGTTCCCGTGACCTTGTCCCTGGGAGGAAACTCCATCGATGCCGAAGATGTCATGCCAATGGAGTTCATGAACTTGCCAGAGATTCCAGAAGAGCCGTCAAAGGACCCATCATCCGGTGTCTCTGATGTTTTTGTACAGACAGTTTTTTTCCGAAGTGCAGCATGTGATAATCAGTCCATAGGAAATCAACATGAGTTTGGTAACTGGGATAGAATGAAGGCTTATAGTAAGGGTAATAATAGCCGTAAGTCTATAGTTGCCTCGCTCGTGGACAGGATTGAGTCCAAGCTGCGCCAACCAACCGCTGAGAGCCCATTGTGCCTGAGCACCAAACGCCATTTTGGCGATGCATCCGAAACCAAGCCCAAAGGGGCATTCCGATCCATGCGTGCCGAAGGTCAGGCCTCAAAAGAAGGTCATGACACAATCCAGCCATCAAACCAATGCAAATTGATGCCATCCAATTTTCCTGTAGCTGAGACCATGTTTGCCACACATGATGCATGGGGAATAATCGACACAGGGGCTACTAAGACTGTAATTGGAAGCCAACACATAGCCGAATTTCTTCAAGCACTTGATCCTTCCGTACGTAATCAGGTGAAGAGATGCAAATGTGAAGTTACGTTCAGGTTTGGAAACCAAGGAGTCTTGAAATCTCAACAAGCAATTGTTCTGCCGGTATGTGGTCTTGGCCTTAAAATTGCAGTAGTTCCTGGAGCCACGCCGTTCCTGCTGTCCAATACCTTCATGCGTGCGATGGGTGCCATGGTTGATACAGAGAATCACCAACTAATACTTCCCAAACACCAAATCAATGTTCCACTTCAACTCACTTCCAAAGGTTTGTATCTGATTGATGTGAATGCCCTCACGCGAGTTCAGAAGCCAGCAGGAAGTTCAGTCGAAATGGCCGAGACGTTTTTGCATGACGACCTGGAAACACCCAGCAAAAGCCAGAGCGTTGACGCCAACAGTCATGGAACTAAGGGTCCGAAGTCAGAACAGCCAGAGATTTCCATGGAGCCACGTGTCCAAGAACATGACAATGCCACGGAAACACACCCTTGTCACATGTCAACTTCAAATGATAATAAGAAACATGTCAAGTTCAGTATCAGTAATTCCTCAACAAATCTCTCTGAGAAATCCGACAGCATGAATGTGACAGGAACACCTGCTGACAGCCATCTTTCTCTGAACGAAAACTCGTGCCCAGCTCGTGATCACAGTCAGATCGTTCACCATGAGCGACTGGGGTGCTCGCCTCAAGCGTGTTCAGGAAGCTCAGTTGAGCGAGGAGACCGAAGAGATTCCCGATGTGAGCTTGGAAATCCTGAAGATGGAGACACTGACCTTCGGTCAGACCTATGTGGGTCGCACGTACGAGGAGTTGTGGAACCAGCACCCAAGCTGGATCAAGTGGTTCTACCAGCACTACAAGAACAGCACGAAGGCTGCCCACAAAAGGGTCATCATGTTCATCGAGAAGCGCATTGCCGAAGCAGAATTGTCAGGACCGGTGACATCACAGTCACCAGTGACACCAGCTCCAAAGAGCCTAGCAGCACCCAAAGTGATGCCCACGCAGCCGAAGGCCAAATCCATGCCAAGATCATCAGCGGAGGAAGAGATCGAGCCCGAGCTACTGATGGAGCCAGGCAATCCGTGGCCTGCCACGGAAGACCGCCTGATGATGCATGGATTGCAGCAAAGGGTCCTCAACATGGAGAACGCCATTCACCAGATCCTGTCCCATCTCACTCCGGCCAATGCGGCAGTGCCGACAGTTGCACCATCAGTGATGTCCGCGACGGAGCTCATGAACGAGTGGGACGATCCCTGGAATCCATGAGAAGCCAGGCCGAAGAAGGCACACTCCTGTATTCAGCGGGGGAAATAGATGAGTTTTGCGAAACCATGCCAAACCAAGAAAGGAAGAGATTTTGGGCCCTAGTGGAATTGATCGAAAAGGAATATGAAACCATATCCAAAAGGGTCAAACCTATGGGAAAGCCAATTCATCTTATGGAAGTGTTTTGCAGTAGTGACAGCAGCCTGACAAAACAAGTTCAACAGTTGGGTGGCCATGCCATTCGGTTCGGTCTTGCTCAGGGTGATCTACAGACAGTTGAAGGACGCAAAGATTTGCTGACAGCCTTATGCCGCCATTGTCCAAAGCATGTTTGGCTGAGTCCGAGATGCGGTCCATGGTCATGTTGGTCCAACTTTAATCAAAATAGATCACTGCAGATGTGGGACAAAGTTCACTCGGACAGGCTGGAAATGCTTGTGCAGGTAGCACTGTGCCTCGTGCTGTCCCGCATCCAAGTGCGGAATTCCCGACATGTGCACTGGGAACAGCCCAAGGGTTCACTCATGCTAAGACTGCCGTATGTCCAAGAGATCTTCCAATACATGCTCATGGCCCAACCAGACCTTTGTAATGCCGGTAATCTGAGGGATCCCATAAACCAGAAACCCATTCGTAAAGGGCTTAACATAGCAACGACATCACAACAGATGTTTGCCACTCTAGATCCACTGCGATGCAACGGTCAGCATGAACATCAGGTCATAGAAGGCTCCACCTTTGCACATGGCCAATCAATGCCTCGTTCAGTGTTTTCTGAGTTTTACCCTCGCAAGTTTGCCCGAATAATTGCCAAGGTCGTGACAAAAGTGAGATTTCCAAATGAACGTCCTTTGGGCCCAGTGTATGATCCCATCCTGTGCATGTTTGATCAAGTGTTGACCTTGAACTCACGACCCAGCAAGCGGCCGAGATTGGGACCAAGTCGGTCTCTTAAAGCCAAGACTGCCGACAGATCACTCAATGCACCAGATGATGCCAAAAGACTGAAGACTGTTGAGAAGGAATCAGAACAACCCATGGTGAACATGTCCAGTCCTGCCGATGCACAAAAAGTCATGTCCATGGTTGAGCCAATGTTGCCTCGAGTTGGTCGCAAAGAAATAGATCAGCCTAATGTTCTTCAACTGGTTCAGACAGTTTTTCCTGATAAGAGGGTTGTGAAGGTCATAGCATGCAAAGGCACCGAGAGAGCCTTAGGTCCTCCGAAAAACTTGAATCCCAGAGAAGCGCCATATCGTAGGGCAATCATGAAATCAAGAACTGACTTGAAAGTGTACTGCCAAGAACAGTGGGAACAATATGATCAGATCTCAAACCGTCAAATCAACAAGAAATTGCATCCGTGCCGAGTGAATATAACTGTCTTTGCAGCGAACCTGGAAGGTTCTGGATCCGCCAGCGGTAGAAATGCGAATGCTGAGCCAGTAGCAGTGCCAGTTGTCAAAGCCACCGAGCCAAATGTGGATCCTCCCAAATCAGACAAAGAACAAAATGGTGAGACAGTTGACATAGATGTGCAACATAGAGATGAACAGCCTGAGAGTTCCGAACGTGCCACTTTTCAGCCTGATCAGGGAGTGTCCCATCCAAGCAGTGCTGAGGGTGTACAGGACGTAGAAAGTCATGGGCCTAGATTTAAAGCTCTACCCCGTGAAGAACAGGCCATGCTGAAACGTGCTCATCAGAATCTTTGTCATCCAAGTCCAGAGCAGTTAAGCACAGCTTTGCGAAATCAAGGAGTACGTCCAGAAGTGTCACAGGCGGTGTTTGACATGTCATGTCCTGTTTGTGCCAAAACTCAGAAACCAAAAATTGCTCGTCCAAGCACATTGAAATGTGAGCTGGACTTCAATGATAAGGTGTTTCTTGATGGTATCACATGGACCAGTCAATCCGGTAAGACATTTCATTTCTATCACCTGATAGATCAAGCCACGAACTTCCATGTTGCTGTGCCAGCTCCAAACCGATCAGCCGAGAGTGCCATTCAGTGTGTCACCGAATCATGGCTTCAGTGGGCAGGACCTCCTAACAGTTTGATCACAGATTCAGCAACAGAATTTACAAGTGAACTGTTTGGAAATTTCATGCAACGCCACGACATCAAGCCTGTGACCACTGCGCCATATGCACATTGGCAGAATGGCCGTTGCGAACGTCATGGTGACATTTTGCAACACATGCTCATGAAAATTGACCTTGAAATGCCAATTAACTCATATGATGAACTTCACCAAGCTTTAGTCCAAAGCACTCATGCCAAGAACACTCTTAGCATTAGAAAGGGGTATTCTCCTGAAGTTTTGGTGTTTGGGAAGGGGTCACGGTTGCCAGGGTCAAACATGAGCAGCGAAAGTGAATCATCCATGGCAAGTGCTGATCGTGCTGATGGACATGGAATATCTTTCCGCCGAGATCTGGCACTTCGCGAAAGAGCACGAACCGCATTCCATCAAGCTGATAACGACATGGCCCTCAGAAGAGCTTTTCTCCGTAGAACAAGACCTGAAAGAAAATCATACAGTCCTGGAGAATGGATCATGATGTGGCAACCAACACAGCTAGGTGGACACTGGTTCGGACCTCTGAAGGTAGTGTCACAGGAAGATCGAAATGCAGTATGGGCCACACAAGGTGGCAAGTTGCACCGCCGGGCACCCGAACATGTTCGTCCGGTTTGCTCTCAAGAAGCCAGACAAATCCAACATGAAATGGTTCCCGCAAACCATCCAGCCGAGAATACCAATAATCCCAGTAATCAACATGCCATAGATAATGACCACATTCAAATTCCCGTAACCAATAATCCCTATAATCCTCCCCATCAGAATAATCCTGAACAAAATAACATGCCATCCAATACCTCGAGCACTTCACAGGATCAACCAGACAATGAACCAGAAGCCAGCACACCACATGACAACCACAGTGAACTCACACAGGATCCAGCAGTTGAAACACCAGTGCCAGAACTTCCATCCGATGATGAACTTGTAACCACACATATCCTTTGTTGTGAAGAAGAGATTCTGACAGTAGATCCAATGGAAACTCCGTGTGCCTGGAGATGTGAACTTGAAGTGCCTACGACTGTGTGCATGGACCATGCCAGGACTTGGACTGCCGATGAAATCTTGTTGGCCACAGCTGACAAACGTCAGCGCACTGAGGTGAAATTGTCTGCATTGTCCGAGCATGAGAGAAAAGCATTCCAAAGTGCCAAAGAAACGGAAATCAATAATTGGTTGAAGACAGGGACAGTATCCAAAGTTTTGAGATCCCATTTGGCCCCAGAACAAATCTTGAGATGCCGATGGATTTTAGTATGGAAACCTTTGGAAGATCAGAAAAATGCAGACAGCTGTGACCAACCCAAATTGGCAACACACAAACCCAAAGCCCGGCTAGTTGTCCTTGGGTATCTTGATCCAAACTTGACAGAAGTTCCCAGAGACAGCCCAACGTTAGGTAAGCAGTCAAAAATGCTGATCCTCCAGTTAGTAGCTTCAATGGGTTGGAGTCTTGGATCATTCGATATCCGTGCAGCGTTCCTACAGGGGAAACCTCAAAAGAACCGGATCATTGGTCTTGAGCCAGTTCCAGAACTGGCCAAAGCTATGAAGCTGAAAGAAACAGAAGTTTGTAAGCTAGAGAAGTCTGCGTACGGTCTCATCGATGCACCGTTCCTTTGGTTTCAAACGCTTCAAGAAGAACTGACAAAACTAGGCTTTGTGGCATCACCTTTTGATCCGTGTGTGTTTGTCTTGAGGCACCCTGACACACAGGCACTGGCGGGAATTCTCGGTGTCCACGTGGACGATGGGATCCATGGAGGCGATGAATTTTTTCATCAACAGATTTCCAAGCTGGAGTCCAAATACCCATTTGGATCGAAGAAATCAAGAGCATTCACCTTCACGGGGATCGACTTGAAACAGAACACGGACAACAGCATCACACTTTCACAATCCAAATATATCAAGAATATCAATCCCATCCAAATCAAGCCTGAACGTAGAGCCCAAGAAAATGAAAATATCACAGAAGCAGAAAAACACTTACTCCGTGGTCTTATCGGGTCCCTCCAATATGCAGCAGTTCACACACGACCAGACCTCACAAGTTCACTAAGCCAACTCCAATCCAAAATCAATTGTGCAACCGTCCAAACACTTATAATGGCCAATAAGACATTGCATATTGCCAAGAAACACAGCGACGTAACCATCACTATACACCCAATCAAAACTGATGATCTTCGATTCATAGCGTTTTCGGATGCTTCGTTTGCCTCGAAATCCAAACCTGAGTCACATGCAGGGATGATCATCTTATCAACTCATAAGGATATATCCCAAAATAGATCTTGCTTGGTAAGTCCTTTGTCTTGGGGAACCAAAAAGATACAGAGAATTGTCACCAGTACGTTGTCGGCCGAGACCTCAGCCCTATCGACAACATTAGATCAGCTAACATGGCTACGTCTTTACTGGGCATGGATCTTAAACCCCAAAATAAAGTGGCAAAGACCTGAGTCCGTTGATCTTCCAGCAGCATACACGGTACCGACAGTGAAAATTGAAGAAAAGGATTTAGCCATCACCGATTGCAAAAGTCTCTTTGATCTCACAACTCGTACTGCTCTTCCAAACTGCCAGGAGTTCCGTACTCAATTATTAGCAAGGTCCATAAAGGACATCCTTTCAGAAGGAATACGCCTGCACTGGGTTCATTCCGGGGCTCAACTTGCGGACGCATTGACCAAAGTCATGGAAGCTAGCTTCCTAAGGGAGACCTTGAAGCAAGGAAGATACTGTTTGCATGATGAAAATGAGGTACTCAAAAACAGGGCTTCAGCACGCAACAGGCTGAAATGGCTCAGATCCTCTTCAGACCAAATGAGTTCTTCGTCAGAAAATTTTTGAAGTTTTGCGAATGTGAATTGAACTCATTTGAACATCTTGTTGACTTGAAGACAC